TTTTTTACTTTTTATATTTATCATTTACTTTTTTTTTGTTTTTCTTTATTTTTTTCTTCTTTCCTTTATTCTGCTCATTGCGTTAATCAAATTTAATTGAAATAAATTACATTCGCAGAATCTGCGTATAGAGGAGAATACAGCGATGAATAAACAATGATAGGCAAAGGGAATGATAAATGGTGTATAGGCATTCGGGAGTGGGATGCCGAAGCAACCGAGTTGGATCTCCTATAATGAAGAGAACTGGATCGTCCATAATAAACTGAGTTGGTTCTTCTGTAATCAAGCGAGTTGGAACTTCTGTTATTAACCGAACTGGATCTTCTGTAATGAACCGAGTTAGATCTGTTGTTATCAACCGAACTGTAACCAACCCGGCTGCATCTTTAATTAACCGAGCTGTAACCAAATCAGCTGGATTTTCTATAATAAACCGAGCTGGATTTGCTACAATCAACCGAGGCAAATCCGCTATTATTAACTGAGCTGGATCTTCTGTAATCGACCGAACTCGAACTCTTTTAATCAATCCAGCTGGATCTTCTGTAAATCAACCGAGCTGGACCTTCTGTAATAAACCGCATTGAATGTTTTGTAATCAACCAAGCTGGGTTTTCTACAATTAACAGAGTTGGATCCGCTGTTACCAACCCAGCTAGATCTCCTTTATTAACCGAGCTGGAACTTCTGTAATCGACCGAAATGGATCTTCTTTTATTAACCGAGTTGAATTTCATATAATCAGTCCAGCTGGATCTTCTTTAATTAATCGAGCTGGATCTTCTGTAATCGAATTAGCTGGTTCTACTATAATCAACCGAGCTGGATTATCTGTAATCGATATAGCGATTTCGATTTTTTTATCGTTCACGTGATTTTCGTCCGATTTTATAGAATTTTCAATTTTTTTTTATTATTGGTCTGATCTAAGTTCGTGATCCAGATATCTCAATAGTAGATAACAGCTACATTCTCGACTATTGCAGAATGGCCGGCTGTTGGGGCTCGAGAACAGGAGAAATTCAATAAGATGCACATTTCATGTTTCATAATTCTTCTGTAACAGCAAATTAGGTACAATTCCAACTTATCCAAACTAGAGTCGGACACACCCAACATATGCTCAATATGTCATGGGTGCCGGCACAACACTAATCACTACTTAGCATGCTGCGTCAAGTCAGCTTATGCAGCAGACCTGTCTTTCCACCTTTGCTACGAATTCTGTAGCGGTAGTTCTTTGGTCGGATACAAATTCAAGACGTTGGGAAAATTGTATTTTGTATTGTATTGTAGCCTCCATGGATAAGTTCTTATTTCCGTAGTCCGCTAGTGACTTCCTTTAGCTTTTCATTGGGTCATCAACCATTTAATTTGAACTAATCCATAGCGACCAACAGGAAGTTGGCGATAATAACCCACATTTTATAAGAAAACAACGAAAACTTCATCAGAACCGGCCCAGAGAGGGCTTCGAATAAAAGGCAACACAGTGGAGTTATACTGCTCCGAACAAAAGATACAACATTTGTACACCACCTCGCATTCTATACTCATATATATGCTTGAAAATATGAAGTAGAGAGTATTGTACAATGCGGAAGGTCTTTCCTTCGCTGGAGGTGAACCGAAAAACGATCTTCAGAGCCCCCAACAATACTTCGGACCAGGCATTTTCTAACACAATCTAAAATATATTAAGAAAATGCGAAATTTGCAATTTATTGATAGAATAGATTAGATTGTCTTTTTATATATTCTATTCGCTGGAACATTATCGACGAAAACATAAATTCACTGCTCCTTCATAGTGGATAGGCTAGGCATGTGAAGCTTGTGACGTTCGGGCATTTATAATTATCTGTAACAGTGCTTTAGTTCATAAGTAGAATAATTATTGTATAATTATTTTTCTTTATAAAATAAAATAAATAAAAATTATCTGTAATATTTTGAACCTTACAGACCCCATACAGAGATTGCTTGTAGATAAAACGTAATATTGGAATATGAACTAATTTCTACATACGAGAATACATATTTATAAACACATATATATAGTATGTAGGTGCATCGCTTTTGGTGTCGACTGATATTTTTAAAATCGACGGAGATTAGAAGCTACTTATCATGTACATAGATGTTGTATAAGAATAATAAACCTACATATATATATATACATATATATATATACATTAATGAACCAAAAAATTAGTTTAAACGTGTGTAAAATACCAAATCTCAAGCTTGTAGATGCACTTTTGACGGATTTTTGGCTCAAAACCTCAAATCTGAACAAATCGGTTGTATGGCAGCTATATGTTATAGTCCTCCGATTTCGACGATTTTCGGTGGCAATATTTATTTGTATAAACGCGTGTAGAATACCAAATCTCACGCTTGTAGATGCTCTTTTGGCGGATTTTTGGCTCAAAACCTCAAATCTGAACAAATCGGTTGTATGGCAGCTATATGTTATAGTCTTCCGATTTCGATGATTTTCGGTGGTAATATTTATTTGTATAAACGTATATAGAATACCAAATCTCACGCTTGTAGATGCTCTTTTGACGGATTTTTAGCTCAAAACCTCAAATCTGAAGAAATCGGTTGTATGGCAGCTATATGTATAGTCCTCCGATTTCGATGATTTTCGGTGGTAATATTTATTTATATAAACGTGTGTAGAATACCAGATCTCACGCTTGTAGATGCTCTTTTGGCGGATTTTTGGCTCAAAACCTCAAATCTGAACAAATCGGTTGTATGGCAGCTATATTTTATAGTCCTCCGATTTCGATGATTTTCGGTGGTAATATTTATTTATATAAACGTGTGTAGAATACCAGATCTCACGCTTGTAGATGCTCTTTTGGCGGATTTTTGGCTCAAAACCTCAAATTTGAACAAATCGGTTGTATGGCAGCTATATTTTATAGTCCTCCGATTTCGATGATTTTCGGTGGTAATATTTATTTATATAAACGTGTGTAAAATACCAAATCTCACGCTTGTAGATGCTCTTTTGACGGATTTTTCGGTTGTAAGGGAGCTGCCTTATATACTAGTTATTTACTTACTACTTATATACTAGTCCGATCTGACCGTTTCCAACAAACGATTATCTTACAGTATAAAAATACATTTGCTTTCTTAAGTTTGTTGAAATATCTAAAAAAAAAAAACTGGAGGACTCGTTTGCATATAGACAGAGAGACGGGCATGGCTAAATCAACTTATCTCGTAATTCGTATCATATTGGTATAATTATGATGATTCTATCTTTTTTACTACTGGTACTAATATACTTCGGACCAAAGTTAATATACCATTAAATGAATATACAAAATGTGAAAGGTATAAAAAAAAGTTAGGTTATGTGAGGTTAGGAAATTCTTTAACGACAATGGGATGATTTATAACATTATATTTTAATTTTATTATATATATTAAATATTATTTTAACCCATTTTGATACGAAAACAAGGCAAGAAAAAAAATTTCTATGAGAATGTAGTAAAATTCATTATTTAATTTTGTATATGTTTGTATGTAAGTCCATTTAGACTAAAGAAAAATATACATATGTATGTATGTATATGCACACATATGTCAGAAAAGAAAAATTTAAAATAAAATAATGCAAAAATTTATTAAAAAAAGTAAAAAAAAAATATAATAAAAAATTTTTATGATAAAAAAAATTTAAAAATAGAAAAATTTGAAACTAAAAAAATTAAAAAAACAAAAAAAGAGATAAAAAAAACAAATAAAAAGGTAAAAAAAAATAAAATTTAATTTCACTCAGGAAAAATACCACGAGCTTCTAACTTCCAACTCGCAAGTGTCTACGTACATATGTACATATGTATGTACAAATGCCTTCATTAAAATCTCATACATATAAATTATGCCGATTTTGAAATATTTCATTAAAACAAAAAAACTTAAATAAAAGCGCACATTTCGAAAACTATAAAATTTAGCAATATAAAAGCCGCCTGAAATGTGATTAATTTCATATTAAAAGAGAAGCAGTTAGAGAGAGAGAGAGAGAGAGAAGAAATTAACTAAATTTAGCAACCCCCTAACGATGCGCATACACACATAGATACATACATACATATATATTTATGTACATAGATACGTGCCCTTGCTATCGCACAGCATCCGTTCATCTAGCCAACCAAACAGCCAGCCATCCATCATATGCTCACATCAAACACACACACATTAACACAGGAAAATTCACACAGACGCACACACACGCACAGACACTACACTCTGGCACGCGCACTCAGCAGCAAAAGGGGAGGTCAAACGGTAGTGCAATATTATTTAGTAACTCTACTTGTCACTTGCTGAGCGCTGAGATTATTGTTTGTTGTTTTTGTGTATTTTTCTTATTTTCCGTGGATAGTTTAAAAGTTTTTTTTTCGATATGTACATATGTATTAAATAATACTTTTACACTACCTCAGATGTGTGGGGTTATACATCTGTATACATATATGTATATATTTGTATATATGTATACATATAAATGTATGTATATGTATGTATGTGCGTTTGTTTTTATTTTGGAAATTCTAAAGTTATTTCACTTGTACGACATGGAGTCCGTCACAACACACACACACATATACACAGACACAACACTATTTCCTCTATTGCTACTCGTCTTTTTTTTTTTGCTGTTATTTTTGTAAAAATTTTATTTTTATTTTTTCGTTGTTGTTGGTTTTTGTTTTTACTTCGTTTTGATCACAAAACTTTTCAGTATTTTTTCCAACACGTTCCATTCATACATATGTATGTAGTTGTTGTTGTTGTTGTTATACGTAGTCTTTGCGTATGGTTGACACTTTATTCTTCACTTTAGCCGCCAACCAGCGGCATCATGCACCAGACGAATTTCAAATATTTTTTTTTTTAAATTTTTTCTTTATTTTTTGGCAATTATTACAATAGAGATCACAAAAACAACAAGTACTTACAGAATCCGTAACCGACACGAGGAAATCATAAGAATTTTTTTTTGTTTTTTTTTCGAAATATTCTAGTTTAATGATTTGCAGACAAATTATACACGCGTGTGAATATCGAAAGGAAAGAAGAAAAAAAGGAAATACGCGGCGTACACACACACGTACAAGCTACACGAACTGCATACATATGTATCAAAGAAAACAAAGCGTTTGCTAGACTACATTCATATCTATACAATAATCTATATGTAACATTGTACATTTATATATACATATATGTATGTATATTTATTAAGAACATGTGGACGTGTGCGAACGAATGAACGAACGAACGACCGAACGAATGCAGCAAACACAAATGAAACGTCTAATTAAACCGAAAGAAAGAACGCAACTGACAGCCCAACAATCGAATGCTGCCTGCTGAGGCATGGTACATATGTGGTTGGCTGGTTGGCTGGCTCCGGCAGCCTGCTACTCACTCAGCTTTTGCGCTCGAGGAAAACGCTACCAAACGAATTGTTTTTGTAGTCTGTAGCATACAGCGTAGCGTGAAAGAGAAAAATTTTCACGAGCATGAAATTTTATACTAGCTACTGCTTTATCGGTACTTGGTATATATATGTGTGTGTGTGTGAGGAAAATTGTCGCTACATGTATGCAAGAGTATAATAGAACAGATGTCTTTTAGAGACTTTTCCTCGAGCATCTACTTATTATTGCATGCATTCTTTTGAGGCTCTCTTTCATGAGCAGCAAGAGGTGGATGATTAAATGATTGTGGAGCAACCCGGTAGGAAACGTTAAAGTTAATGTTAAAGCAGCAAGCAGGGTAGGTGAAAGTAGGCCTTCAGTCGTTGAGGCAAGCCACATGAAAAATCGGAAAGACCCAAACCTGTTGGGTAGGAGTCCAACAACCCTGAGGAAAGGGGTTCAAGAATTTTCCCGCGTTAGAGCAGGCTTGTCGTAAGAGGCGACTGAAATCCAAAAGTTCCCGCGACAGTCAGGTCTTTATACCGGAACGAGCCAGATTTTTAACTGTCCAAAAAATGTCACACCCGCAAAATTCCACAATATCTTTGCGACTACAACAACAACAACAACAACAACAACAACAACAACAGTAAAAATCGTGGAAAGAGAAAAATAAAAACTTTTGCAACTGGATGCCCATCCGAAGAGAGAGCAGTTATCCGCCACTCGCTGGATGATCAGTTGAGGCAAAAAAAAAATTTATAGAAGATTAAGAGATACGCAGACTGCTCATATAAACTCGGAAAAATCCGAGACGTGCAGGCGTTTAAGCAAATTTTCATACTTTGTAGTTTTAAGCCTAGAAATATTTTGGAACGGATTTTCACTGCGGACGTAATATAAGTTCTTCACTTTTATACTGAATGAAAAGAGGAACCCAAGCAATGTCACATAAAGGACACGCCAAATCGTTTGTTTGAAAGCAAACAACTAAATCTCCGACCTTCGCTCGCTTCTTCACTGACAGACACGCCGACACTTGGAACTTTTAGCACTCACAACGACACTATCTATCAACAGGACGAATAAGTACCTGCTGCTAGATCTGAACATGAATATTAAAGGCGATGACTTGAAAAATCCAATTCTTAGCAACCTTAGACTTATTGGAAAGTTCTTCCTACGGCCTCGGCACCGCCTACGACCGCCATCGTCTTAAATTGTGCGGTGTACATCTGGACGCCGAGAAGTGGGGAGATATTTTTTCATTGCCAGACACTTCAGAGAATCTGGACTCCGCTGGGCGGTGTGGAATTCATAAAGTGAAAGTGGCCTACACTTCTCTACTTCACTTACGACTACAATTGTCATAAACTACGCTGCACCGATCCGATTGCCGGGGACGAGCCAGAGTCAGATGAGGAAACTAAAGTTTTGTCAAAACCCCGCCTTGAAAACCACTAAAGACGCATAATATGCTTTACAGGCAGTATCTACTGGATTGCTATCAAAAATATTTCGCCTGTACGTACCCACTTAAATTAGAGCCGCTCGTCAAAAATATACATCAAGAAGGTAGTATAAGAACTCATTACAGCAATGCTTAACAGAGCCACTAGACCAACTTTACTACAGACAGCCATAGAGCGCCATTTGTAGAGAGTTAAATATCTTCCTCAACTCTCTTCTCCTCATTATTAGAGCCAGACTACAATCCGTGGTAGAACAAAGAGCTCGAGTAGACCGGTGAAATCCGCCATCAATTAAAGTCTGAAGGGCAGACTTAATTCCTACTTAACCATACTTGATCCCAAAACACACAATTTATGAGTTCCCAGTGCCGAGGTCACTACTTTTGTTGTAAGAATATAAAGATGAGAGAATATCAAGGAAAAATGTATTGAGAAAATGTTTATTAGTCTCACTCACTTCACAGTCAGAGCCTGGAATCGAGTGCAAAGTTTTTAATAAAAAGAAAAAAAATTTGAGAAAAGTACACTTCCCGGCGTTAATGAGATCGAAAAGTCGATCTTAGGTAATTTTGACTCGAGCGAGGAGTGGAATATTTGTTTCGAGTGTAAAAATTACGAAATAAAACTTGTTGACATGAACAAAAAAAAAAATTGGGTTCTAGAGGAATATTACATTTTCCAAACGACCTTCCGCGTACCGCTGCATTTAGCTTCGTTGCGCACTGTACAATCAACATAAAGTGAGCATAATGTAACGGAAATTTCTATGGTAGAGGGTTGAAAGTAGTTGAGAGAGATAAAAAAGCTACATGTGTACATACATACGTATTTTTACAGAGCTCTCATTGCATTTGGGGTGAGCAAGATTCCAAAACTAGCCAAATGACGTTTCTTTAAGTATTTATACATAAATATGTATGTATATATAAACATCAAAAGTGTTATCAGGTACTGAATGATGCATTAGATCGGTGATTTCATAAGAAACTTAGCAGAGCACATGAGTAGCAGGCAAAAGTGAGCAGTTAAGTGGCCAATGTAGTGAATGGGAGTGTTGTAAATCATATGCAATAGGCCCAAAAAGGTGATCAATGTTATCAGCTTATTATTAATATTTTTTTTATTATTGAAAATTATGACCTATTAAAGTACATATGTTTTCACATATTGAAGTATATAAAAGAAAATCAATTTAAAACGACATTAACTTTGAATTTACTTAAAGTTAAACGCATATTTCGGGCTGAGTAAATTAATTTTTACGCGAGAAATAATTAAATTTTTTATTGAAAAAATTATTTTTTTTTTTAATTATTGTTTATTTATTTATAAATAAGATTGTAAAAGAATACGCACGAGAAAATATTTTATGCGTACTTTTCTGTAATGATAAACCAATTTATATACATACATATATCACATTTTTTGTTTATAATAACACGATGTGAGGTTATATCATGCGATGTAGTGTAAAAAGTTACATGCTAATGCAAAAATAAAGTACTTAAGCATTTATTAGAATATTTAGATATATATATATATATGAACATAAAATGTTGTATGAGTGCTTATTAGTTGTAATAAGACAGTTTATTTCATTTCATATGTCATGCACATCACGGTGCCATAGAACATCATGCGATTTAATGTTAAAGAATAGCAAAAAAGAAACGCACGCTACTACAAAAATAAACAATAAATATGTAATAATGTAAATTTGAACTAAACATTATATAGTGCCGTTAATATGCTGATTTATTGCTGTTATATTAGTTACAGTAAATAAATTGCATTGATAGCGTGACGTGACTAGAGGTCATGTGATACAACATCAAAATGTTGTGTGATATCACGTCGGCTGTTTTTTTTTTTTTGCAAAGCTCAACATTTATTTGATCATGTCAACGATTTTTCCAAGATCGGCTTCTCGATCTCATCAACGCCGGGAAGTGCACTTTTTTCTTAATTTTTTTCATTTTTTTTTTTTTAATAATAACAACATCAAGAAGATGTTACTGCGGAAATTCCGCAAGTTACTTCAAAATGCAGTTTCCATCATAAATGTCAAATTAGATTTTACAAAATTCTGCTGTTTGATCAATATACACATGTATTTATGTGCATAAATATGCTAATATTCCAGCCAATACTTACTCATGCACACGTTTCGATAGTGCCTCTGCAATTGTACGCAATACTTTGGAATCAACATCACCACCGCCATGTTCCAACAGGAATGATGTCATATTTTCAATAACACTAATCTCATGCAAGGATGAAACATCATCGCAATGCATACCGGCAGCAGCTGCTGTTGCGTTTTCCAATTCAGCTTCTGCATATTCCTGAGTGGCATTCAAGCGCATACTTTCAAATGTTTTCAAGTCACTCATTTTTAATTATTTCAGTCAAATAGTTAAAACACAAAATATAATACTGTAATGTTTTAGCGGTTTGTTAACAAAATCAACAAAAGCAATTGTGGGAAAACAAACAAATACAAATATTTTAACACAGGTAAAACGAGCGCCAATTGAAATTCAACTGATTTTGAGACAGCGAAATATGCACTTTGTGGATTGTGCCGGTGTGAATTGTGCTGCCAGATTGGGTAAAAACATGTGTAAGTAAACGCAAGGGAAACAATTTGAAACATCTGCATAAATGTGTAATTTTACAATGTTTTAAATAACATTAAGTTATTACAAATCAGCCTCATACTATTATTATATACAAATATATAATGTGATAAAATTTAATTTAAAATCGGAATTCTCAACGGGAATGGAATTTGTAAAATGTTGCAATCAGATGGGGTAAAAACATAAGTAGACGTAAGACATAACTATTTAAAATGTTTTCATACAAAGTTATTTAGTGTGTTCAAATAGAAATAAAAAAATTACAAATTTATTAGTTCATTAATTATATTAAGAATTTCGAGTTTTCGGTAGGCATGTAAGCAAAGCTAGCGTAGCTCAGATCTAGAAAAATTAGTCATTCCAATTGAATATGCCTTGAAATCGCTTAAGCTATTTGCAATGGAACTATTCTTTCAAATTGCGAAGGTTTTTGAAGCAATTTGAGTAATTTGGATTTTTTGATCACCTCCGAATGGCTGAAGAATTTTTATTATGACATTCTTGATTTCGTGTCAGCATACGCTCGGTTGTCATAATCCTCCAAAGCACTACTGCATTTAGAAAAAGGTTTTGTCTATAATTTTGATAATAAACTGCCCGAAAGAAAAGCAGCTTATATGTATATTGTATACAAATTTTATAGTTTTATTTTTAATATATATTAATAATTTCATTAGAATATAGTATGTATATATTTTAAAATAATGGAACATTTATAATTGCAATATGCATTAGCAGTGGTGAAATACTTTTTGTCGTATTAACCGCAAGTTTTTCTTATTGTGCGTTTGCATTAGAACCAAAAAAAAAAGAAAGAATATACAAAAATTAAAATAATCTAAAATATACATTTATGTATGTTTTACATGCAGACATACATTTGTAAAATTCTTTTTAATTTTCGTAATTTCAGTTAAATTTAACGATAGACTAAGCTTAACGAAAAAGAAAAAAAATAATTATTACAATTATTTAATTAAATATTTTTGGTTTACTAAATACGAGCACATGTACTTGTACGAAAACACACAGATAGTACATATAAACATGTGTTTGCTTTTATAATCTTTGTAACATTGTTTTACAAATAGTAGATTTCAACTATAATCACCTCTCAGCTCACAGCATTAATCTATGCTGGCATCATATTTCGGTTTTTGTGAAAGATATAAAACTAATATAGTGCTTAGTGCACTAACTAGGAATATAACATCGAACCAACGATGGTAGAAATTAAAATGCAGGCTACCAAGTACTTCTGTGATGATAACACGATATTCTGCGGGTAAATTCATACGCATCAGTAAGACTGAGGAACAGAAGTACATGCCCATTATTTGCGCCATAATGAGCACGATAATATTTGAGGATTTACTAGATGATATTCTGTAGAAGAACTGCAAAATGGGTAGAAATTGTTAAATAGGAAAGATACATATACAAAAATGTTTAATATACCTTCGTCAGTGTTAACAGCAAACCGCGTATGGATGTCACGACAATACAGCCAACAAGTAAAAACGATATATGCTGATTCCAAAAGGCAAGATCTATATCAAAGCCACACCAATGGACGGCAATCTCTAAACCCCTCGTAACGGGATCCTTACGACCGACGCGATCAAATATTATATTAACTGTGCACTAAAATGAAAAAGTTACAATATACTTTTAGTAGTATTATGAATTACGATTGTATGTGCACTTACAATAAATATTTTCCACAAACAATAAACACTAAAAAAATGGCCTAAAACATTAAAATATTTTCCCTGCAGTGTTTGCGACCATCTTTGTCTTTCTTGCATATTCTTCATTGAATTTATTTCTAAAAACAGCTGACGCATGAGCTCTTCCAAACCGTATATCTCTAAACGCAGCTGACCAATATCTGAAACAGGAAAAATTTCTTTGTTTTTGAATTTCCAAACAAAAATAATTATTTTCTTTAAAACCTTGGCCGCTGTTATCCAAACGGTTCACCGCAGAACTCAATATATTCCATAAGCCTTTTTTGGTGTGATTTTCTTTTTTTCGTCTATGCTCTTCTAAAGCGATACGCTTCTTCTTAGCCACAATCATATCGGCTGTGAGCAGTAGACGTCGTTCCAAATTCGTAATGTCACTTTGCGAAACTGGTCTTTAAAACAAATATTTAAAAAAAAAAAAATTATAAACATTGTTAACATAAATAAATCATTTCAACATACTTTATAAAATATGTCATGCTTTGATATGGACAGTTAACCGCACCAAAACCAGATAGTATGGCCATAACAGTGACACCAATGACGCCAATACGTGAAACACCTTGTTCTATGGTGAAAATTCCATGTGAAACGCTTAACAGTGGGAAAGGATCGCCAATTTTCCACAAACCATAGAGAAATGCGAACCAACAAATTATTGTCATAATACGCACCCATTTATCAGATACTGAAATTAGTTTTAAAAAAATATGAATTTAAAAGATAAGCAAATCAGTTTAAGGCGCCCTCTCTCACACAACTTACCAAAAGATAAACTATGTATCACGGAATATAAAATATATAGAGGTATGACAGCTATAACCATAAGTAGTAAAAGTGTTAAACCTAATCGCCAGTGGAAGTAACGCGATTCAGATTCTAAAACGCCCAAAATCTCAAATATTATCAACTCAAACATGGTGAGCGACAGTGCAAAGCACACTGAGAAAATGAGTTGTACGGAAATGTGTCGGATCTCATAGTTCTTAAAAAGTTGTTTCATAAAAAACAACCAGCCTCCAGTGAAGAACAGGATCTGTGTAAAAAAAAAATACATATTTATGTTATATGCATATTGTTTGAAAATTAATCCGCTTGTGTGTTATACCAACCTGTGACACGAACACGATTATACAGTCTTCGAAAAATGTCATACCGCTGCGGTATTTGCAAATGCTATATTATAAAAAACCTTTCAAACTTTTTGTCTGCTTAGAATCATCTTTTATCGTACAAAAATATGCAACATAGTATCAAGTTGCCGAAATTTTAGTAAATGCTAAAGCCGCAAAGAGCCAACAAATCATAAATGCCAAAAACAGTAGTAAACAAATGACGCCTGACAGCTGGGACTTAAATGAAGTGACCAGACCGCAATATGCTGAAAAGAAAACAAAGCAATGATTTCTTTTCTCTAATGATATATGACCATTGTTGAAAAGTCTATCTAATCATTGCTTAACACAAAAAGTTTATTTTGATATTTGCTATTATAAAGCAGTTGTATTCTATGCTTAATTTGAATTGGATGTCGTCTAAATTTGCAGCGTGCTGCCATGTCGTTCCTTCCATATGCAGTTTGAAAGCCATTGCAAACTGTGTACGCCCCCAACCGGGAAACAGCTGTTTTGCTTGTACGTTCCAAATCACCTGAAAATCTGGCTGACGTTTTTTTCGCAATCAAACAAAAGGAAAATTTAATTTAATTAATTCGTGTCGTTTTGTTATATTGTAAATATCTACTTATGTTAAACAACTCCTATGTGTAAATACAAAAGTAAAAGCTCAATCGTTAAGATGACAAACTAAGTTTATACGTGACAAAAGTACGAGATTTTGTGAAACTGCAGTGCTGCGCTAAAATACATTTTTTTTTTTAGTTAAAAACAAGTTTTACATTTTTACGTCATACTTGCGAAAAAATTGAAATTTTTCAATATGTCCTGTTACTTCCGTCAAAACGCCGATACCAATGTAACAATACCAAAGTATATTGAATCTTCCACTGGTGTTGTCTATTATGACATCAAAGTGCGCGTACATCAAGTAGAATGGTTGGTTGAACGCCGTTACCGCGACTTTGCGCAGCTGCATGAGAAGTTGGTTGATGAAATTGCCATCTCGAAGAAGTTGTTACCACCGAAAAAGGTAAGTGTTTATTTTAGAAAAATGAAAAAAAAATTACTTATGAAATATTTACTAAATATTGTGTGGCTTCTTATTTTTCCAGCTGGTGGGCAACAAAAATCCTACATTTCTCGAACAACGTCGTGAGCAGTTGGAGAAGTATTTGCAGGAATTGCTCGTTTTCTTTCGTATACAGCTACCACGTGTTTTAGCCGAATTTTTAGATTTTAATAAATACGACATTGTTTACCTGCTGCAGGACTTAGCCAAACTATTCAATGAATCGGGTAGCTCGCTTTTAAGTTCTAAAAAAGAGTTTAACTTCTCAGCACTAGAGGTAGGTAATAAACCCATATGATTAACTCTTTTATTTTTAAAAATACAAAATGTAAATAAATGTATGTACATTCATTATTTTAGGTATATGCAATAAGCGAACGTCTGTGCTTGCCCTGCCCACCGGAAAATATCGAACAACGTGGGAAATTTGATTTTTCACATGTACTCGATTTTTGTACACAACTGGAGGTATTAATTGTCACACCGGTGAAGGTAAGTTTTATATTTATAGCAATGATCACTTGAACATATTTATCAGATATTATACATGTAATAACAGGACAATACGTCCTTCAACAACGACTACAACACAGTCGATGTGCCCATCGGTCGTAGTAATATTATACCAAAAAATCTCCGTTTTACGCTCAATGCATTCCGTAATGTGAAAACATTAAAATTCCATGGCCTTTCCACCGAGAATATAGTAGATATCGCCTTATTGAAGCCAACAATGCAAACGATTTGCGTACACAGCACCACGATGACGCACATCAATCAAATCCTAATGTGCGATAACATACATCGAGATACCGTTGTTGCAGCAGCTACAGCTTCTGATGCTATCTCCTACACATCGAATAGTTCAGCCGCCGCACAATCCATATCTAATAGCGATTGCACAGATGTCTTACCATATATAAAAACTAATTGGTGCGAACTCACCGATTTGGACCTAACAGGCAATCTATTAACACAAATTGATGCTAGTGTGCGTACAGCGCCGAAGTTACGTACACTTGTATTGGATCAAAATCGTATACGTGCTGTGCAAAATCTGGCTGAACTCTCACAATTACAAACGTTATCACTGTCTGTCAATCTAATAGGTGAATGCATTGATTGGCATTTAGAATTAGGTAATTTAGTCACATTAAATTTAGCGCAAAATCGTTTAAAAAAGTTGAGTGGCCTGCGTAAGCTACTCTCCTTGGTTAATTTGGATTTAAGTTGTAATCTCATAGACGAACTCGAAGAAGTCGATAATGTGGCGCGTCTGCCAATATTGGAGACACTACGCTTAACGGGTAATCCACTTGCGGGCAGTGTGGGTGAGTGTTTGAAGCATATACATACATACATACATACATACATACACATGTATACATATATATATATATATATTTATTTAAAACAACTTTTCTGTTACTAGATTATCGACCACGCGTTCTATCGCGCTTTCATGAACGTGCCGCTGAAATCTCACTAGACAGTGAGCGAGGCACACAGAAGGAGCTCGATACAGCGTTAGTGCTATCGGCGCTACACACGTCGAAGATGCGTCAAATTAGCCAAAATAGTCAACGCTAATGAAATAATAATACAGGTATGCGATGGTGCCAAATACACGCATATTCAACGTTGAGATGCCAAAAAACGCATATTGAGTACCTAAAAGTAGACTATGATTTTGTGACGCATGGAGAGAAGCAATTGAAAGCAATTATGAAACTACTACTTGAAATTAATTTTTTAACAAGCTAAGTTGGTTTTAAGCTCTTACTTTTAGCAGTGAAAATTTAAATTATTTTCCTTTTAAAGAAATTACACTGTCATTATTCACATTGCAGCTACATTCCTCTTTCTTGAACCGCCGTTGCTGAGATATAATACCACACACTTGTGCAATATTTTACAAGAAATTTCTTAAAAAAAAAAAAAAAAATATGTCAGTAATAAGAACAAGTATTTAGTGATTTTCATCAAATTTATTCACATGTGTTAGAACAAATATGTATTATACAATTTGAGTTTTAGTTATTTTGTTTGCGATTTCAAATGACGAAAAATATACAGACATTAGTGCGCACGCGCTTTTTAGATCAACTCTCCTGGTTTGATGCTTTCAAATTAAATCAAAAAGGAAGTGCAAATTTAGGCGCTACATAATTTTAATAACATATATATACACATACATACTTATTATGTTTATAATTTTGATTATATTTATGTACGTATATTTTTAATATATTGTAATTCACATTTAAATTATGTACGTGCGTACAAACATACATATATATAGTTTAGTATTTTTAAAGTGTGTGTGTGTAATATTTTTGTAATGCATTTATGCATTTAATTATTTACGCTTTCTGATTTTGACTTAAAACATTTCTTTTAGTATTTTCTCTTTGTATTTTTTTGTTCCCAGTTATACATTTTCTTCCATAGATAAATGTATATATTATGTATAAATGTATATGTGTATTATGTATATAAATACTTTTTGTTGTTGTAATTACAATTAATTTTTTTTTCTTATTTAATTAAAAATGAATTTTAATTAATTGCGTTATGATCCATTGTGGTGTATACAAACAAAAAAAAGTCTGTTTAAAAATATATCATAAAATTGTTTTAAACTTTGTTTCCGTCTGAAGTTTGTATATTACACATTATACATAAAAATGTATACAATAAACTCAATTAAAATATGAAATAAAAGCATATACGAGACCATACAGCATCAAATTGGGGTATACTCGTTGTGACGTTTTAGGTTATGTTTTTCAAAATGTTTCACAAGTTCCTTTTTTGTTTACAGAACTACTATTTCACAACTCTACTGCGTACTAACTTTATTATTTTTTATGTTAAAGCATATTTTGGTAGACAAAAATATGAAAATAATTTTTTAAATAAAATTTTATTTAAAAAAAACAATATTTCATTTTCATTAAAGGTATACACGAAATCTTCGGGTGCTTATCTGCTTATCATCAAGCATATTAAATTTTAAAAGTTTTATAAATATTTTAAAACCTTATTTTCGTGCATAGCTCTAATGAAGTTTTAAATAGCTCTTCTCGATAAAAAAAAAAATTGCGCTTATTTTTTGTTATTTCCCACATTTTATTGATATTGCATATTAATTGCATGTAATTTTTAATTGTTTTGAAAAAAAAAAATAATTTTTTTTACAAAAATAAGTTTTTCTCATTTGACATTTAACAATTTCCGTTAAAAGAAAGTTGTACCACATTTAGCTCACAAATAAGCAGTCATTTTTTCTATTATTATTTTAAAATGAAATTTAGGCGCTAATTTGAAATAAATAACGCCAATAAAACGCACACCTTGTGAATACCCCTATCGTACGCTCACTCGTGAAACTACAACCTCACATATATATCGTCACTTTCCTCTTTACTTTCGGCAAACTCGCGCTATTTAATAGCTCTGCCACGGTAACGTATAGTCTCGTTGCCGCTGTTTCATTCGTTTTCATTGTTGTTGGTTATGATGATGATGCTGTTGTTGTTGCTGTTGCATCATTTGATGATAGTGCTGTTGTTCCGCAGCAGCTGCCGCATCAAACATTGGCGTATGCACTTCACCTATAAATTGTGGTGTTGCCGGCGGATTAGGATCGGCCAATTCACCAATTAATGGCATATCAATATCGGACGTATTGAGTGCATGTTGTTGCTCTGGTTGACCAAAACCAATGTGATATTGTGCTGTTTGCACATCACCATTATCCACCATGTGTGTGCCATACCCCAATTGGGGATCAATGGCGGCGTTCTCAAGTGTTACTGTTGTTGGCTGCTGCTGCTGTACGCTGCTACCATCGAGTACTGGTGTAGCCTCCATTTCACCAAATTGTATGGGTGCAGCTGCATTGTCACTTTCCAATGTTGTTGGTTGCAATTCTGCTGACTGTTCTGCTGATGCTACACTATCTGCAGCAGCGGATTGTTCGCCAACATGCTCTTCACCTTCTGCACCCGTTTCACCATCACGTCGTACCAAACCTAACATATCCAACATATTGCGTTTAACAGTATTCTCTTGTGCGGCCTCAACGGAGACATATGCGGACTTTTGACCACATGTGGCCAAGTGGTGTGCCATCTTATTTCCAACCGATGTGGAGAAACCACAGATGCAATGCATTTCATTTGGTAGTGGCAATTCCATAACATCACGGGCGCCGGTGCCACCGCTACACTCAGCGGCATGTTCAAAGACGGCGCGTTCGCAGCATGATTTGTAATTACATTTATTGCACTTCATAAAGCCACTGAAAGGAAAATCATTTTTTAATTATACTTTTTACGTTTTTTTAGTATTTAGGGCAAACTTACATATAATGATCCTCGTTAAGTATTTCAGAGTTGCATTCAGCACAAATGGAGCCATCAATCAAGGCGAAAAATTCACCAATTTTCGAAGTTATCGTGTAGGGTAGTGGTTCACGGTGATGACTCCGTATCTGCACAAAAAAAAAAATAAATAGCAGAAATTTTTAAATTTACTGGATTTAATTGTAATAATTTGAGGCTTACATACCTTCGGTGGTGCAATTAACATGGAGTTTGCCAATAAAGGTTGGACCTTTCGGTTACTCTTCAGAAGGCTTGTATGATGATTGGCAGAGTGTTGCTTTAATGCACCTAAAACATTTAACATTTTGTTTAATTAAATATAATATATTATTAGGGCTTAACGAAATTGTCTAAAAAAAATAGTGTTTTCATTTTCATTGAGTTCCATAAATTTAGTATGAAGGGAAACAAATTTTTCTTTCAACTGTTTACAGTGGCTTCAAAACTGTCTTCAAAAATGTCAGCAAATTAAAGGAAGGAAATCAATTTCCGTTTTTTCCACAAATTACATGTATTTAACAAATAATTTGCAAAAAATGTGTATTAATGAAAAATATTAGTGCCGCACAGCACTAAATTATTTACATAAATAACTAAACGGATATAAAACCAAGCTCCGGTCACGTATAGAAAGGATCGTAGCTTTGCTCAGAAGGAAAACTTAAGTGCATTAATTATAAGTTGTGTATTCAGAATTTGTGCACTAACCGTAACATGTACTTATGTTTTATAACAATTTTCACCAATAGTCTCTTTTTAATTAACCTCACTTTAACAAAACGAAACTTATTTGACAAAAACTCAAAACTTACCCTTCTCAGTGAAGCATAGTGCGCATTTCTGACAACGCAACTGCGGATCCTTCTTGCTTATATGTGTACGCAAATGCATATAATAATTTTCAATATTAGAAATGCTGATGCGTCCCTTGTAGGAGAAACGGAAAATCTATAATAAAAAATTAATAATTTTATTATAAATTCGTTATAAATAAAGTGCATTTCATCTGTACTCACATCCAAGCAGAATGGACACTGCAAGAAATTCTGATTTTTATGATCATCATAGAAATGACGTACAGCATCGCGATGCGATGATGAGCGGTAACTACAAGCTTGGCAAGCGTAAGGCAGCTCCAGCATATTATGTACCTTCTGCAAATGTACAGTTAAGTGATGCAACGAATTGAAACGTTGCTGACAAATCAAACAGTGATATGAAGCCGATGAGGCCGATTTCGTTTCCAGCGGATGCATAATTTGATTGTGTTTGGTCAACACAGTTTCACTTGGATGTTTATCCAAACAGAAGAGACATTGAAATTGATGATCCTTATCGGCAATAATATGTGATACCAAATGGGTTTGTAATTTCTCATTAGAATCGAATGATTCGTTAATATCGCATATGGGACAATCAACATTGATAGCCTCAACGATCTCGCCAACGTCATTTTTGTAAGGGAAACTTTCGAAATTCACATCCAAACCATCGCGTACGCCATAGTATAATTCCTCAAGACCACGTAAATCTTCCTCATCTTTTTCCTTCTTAATTTTTGTCTCTATGATGATTTTCTTGCTGGAGCTAGGTTCCGATTTGCTGCTGGCGGCATGTTTGGAGCTTGAGCTTTTTGTAGTAATTTGCGCTTTGGCTGAAGTGCTGTTACTAGCCTTAGCAGCAGACTTTTTACTTTCAGGCTTGTAATCATCTTCAACGGTCGTGACTGCTGCATGACGTCCTCGACGGCCAGATGTAGTGGGTGTTGATGTGCTTGCCGTGTCATGGCGTGACGTGTCGGGTTTCTCCTTTTTAATCGATTTCAAATTCACTTTTTCCGGCTGTGCATAGTCAGCTTCGTTGATTGCTATAAGGAAGTGTGGTAAAGTGGAAGTCAGTATAACATTTTTCTAGATATAAATTAGAGGAAAATGAGGATATTTAGAAATGACCAAACCAAAATTAGTTGAAACTATATTTCAAATAGGAACTTAAAACAGAAAAGAACGCTAACCACTTAGTAGGAGAGAGCAGCAATAATATTGATTATTTTTTTTAATTTGATACCTAATTATCTAACATGCCAATAAAACCTTAAAACAGCGCTCCAACTATACGCTATAGCCAAGTGGAATATTTGCCATTATAACTCAACTGTTCTATAATTTTTCACATTTACAAAAAGCATAATACCACGGTAGATTCTTCCAAAGTTTCTTTAAACAAATTTAACAATCATGACTATTATGGCTAACAGCAAATACAAACAATGGGCCAAAAAACTAAAAATAGAAAAGCTTGTATTTTTGTTTAGTTTTTGATAAAACAAGAAATTTATTCAAAATCACAAATCAAATAGTCATTATTTTAACTGCACTACACTTATTTCATAATTAAATAAATATTATGCTTTTTGTTTATAAATACGACTTATTTTTTATACATACATATAAATTATGCAACGTCAACAATATTCAGTTTCTTTTTTTTTTCAATAATTGAAAAAACACGCTTAAACAACAAGAGACAGGTGTAAAGTACAAAAGGTTTAGCATTTTATGCAAAATTAAAGTGAATCTTCGTTAAAGCAAAAATTAATTAATTAACTGTGATAAAATCTTCAAACATAACCTATAATATTTTTAGCATTAATGAAAGTTGAACTAAACGTTTTAAAATTATGACATTTGTACTCTAAGTATGAATGAATATTTACTAGTTACAATAAAATAACATATTACGTTGCTACAATTATTTAAAATTTGAAAAAAAATTTTTTAATGGCAAACAATTCTGATGCGCTTTCGAGCATACATAGCAACGAGTAGTTGAGGTATAAGGCTTGGAAACAGAACTATTTTAAGCACATTATTTAAATTTTAGACATGAAATAGCATTAAAGTGCTGCTGCTTGAAGCTATTAAGTGAGCGCTGAAAGGGGTAAAGTGAAAAAAAATAATTGCATTAATACATTAATAAAAGTTGTTAAAACAAATAAACAATTCATAGAATATCTATAGCACCAGTTGTTTATTTGATACATTTTCAAATAGGCCTCATCGTGCACTAAAAAGTGGTACTAACGTTTTTTCAATCGCTTTGGTGTTGTGTTCACAGGTGTTTCACGATAATTCGCTGGCAAAACACTCCAGTCCTTAAAAGGATTTGTCGCGACCTGTTAATGAAAAGAAATTAAGTTTTAATAAAAAAATGTCACATAGTTTGCTAATAACAATAAACTACACACCTGATATAAGCGTTGTGTAAGTGTTTCACTTGTATTCATACGAGTTTGTTCGGCGATATGTGTGGTTATGTTGTTAAAGGCCTGCAAAGCATATGTGCCGAACTGTTCGCGCCATACCAGTTCATCGAGGAATTGTTGTATCATTTGACGTGACAACAACGACAACGTATTCTGGAACATGCGCGGCACAATGCGACGCAGATAGTCCATTACAGCAGAGTTGGTATGTTTAGCAGTGGTGTCAGTGGCTGCAGCTTGTACTAAATTTTTAAAGCCCATTGAGTAGAGTGTCATTTTGTCAACAGTTAAATCAATGCAAATAACACTGTCCTTATGTACCCAACGTTGCAGTGGTTCCAGTATAGTTTGGAAACGCTTCTTATAATTGCGATCTGCGTCTGATACCGGCTCAACAGCACGTAAACGTATAGTCTTTTCAGTATAATCAAGTACACCTAAAACTTCGACCTTCACTTGACGTTGAGCGCCATCCTGTGAAGTTGTGCCCAAAGAGATGACACCAACCTACAAAAAAAAATATGTATATATATGAGAACAATCAATATGCGATAAAAAATTTTATAATGAAAATTCTATTACCTCTACAAAACGTTCCGCCCCACCTAGTTTTTTACACTTTTGATGCACAGCTAATGTGCAAATAGCGCGCAACCAAGTATATACACCTTTAATGTATACATTATCTACTTTAACCCACTGCACAACATTTTGTATGTTCGTCTGACATGACCAATGATAAATGAGCTTAAGTATGCAGGAGGGTGGATGTGGAGCGCCTTCAAATATGGAGCCGTGGAATACCGAAACAAAACGCATTGGGCAACATTCACTAATCCAAACATAGCCGCCAGTGTAGGGGAATTTGGTGGCATCCGAATAAACACCTGGATAGATATTTTTTTTTTTTGAATTATATAATTTGCGTCCATAAAAAAAAACAAATTTTGATAGGAAACCCATTTGTTGTTTTTTTTAATCAAATCTACATTATCCGCACTCACCCAATTTCAGCTCATTATTACGATGATTTGCACATTTTTGTTCGGCTTTTAACAAGCCTTCTTGTATTAGCCATTCCGTAAATTTATTTGGCGTCAACATCAACACTAATTTCACCTTTGAGTCCAATTTACTGCGTGTACTAGACATATCCTTAACTTTGAGCCATGGCTTAGCCAGCACCACCAGTGAGGGGAACGTTTTCCCTTGTAACTTGGTTTCTTTACTTTGATCCTTACCGTCCTTGCCATCTTTGCCGTCAGTTCCAATAACCAAACCACCGACTGAACTAATTTCCGATGGTTTGAAATTAGTTGGTGGTGTGGTGGCATTATTGCCTCCCTTATCACCCTTGCCCGTAACGGCTTTCCCTGCGACACCTGGCTTTGCACCTTTGCCGGACGGTGTGCCAGCAGATGGTGCACCTTTTTGACCTTTAAGGCCCTTTGCAGCATTTCCTGTAGGCGTATTACTCACAGCAGGTATAGCACCTTTTTTGCCAGTAGCTACTGCAATTCGCTTTGCGAGTGGTACATCGTCTTCTTCTTCATCCGAAGATTCTAAATACACGAAATTTAGTGGTCGTTTGCGACCACCACCTCGTGTTCCACCTCCTGTTGCCGCCGGCGGGTCGGGTTTCGCAGGCTTCTTTGGCGGTAAAGTAGCCTCCTTCAACTCTTGTAAAACTTTACCCTTAAAGGAGTATGCTTGAAATACCTGTCCATTGAAGAGCTCCCGACCCTCGTTGGTGGTTAAAGCTGATTTCAATGCATTTTTAATAGCATTATGTTCGTTAGTAACTTTTTCGTAAGCAGCTAACTGCGCTGGTGATAATTCCTCTACCCAGCATTCCAACTCTAGACTTATATCACTTTTGGTAACGCGCATTTTTCTTCTGGGAAAGTTAAACGCGTTCTAAAATTGTATGATCCAAGTCTTTAAAAAAAATTTAATATATTTTAGCACGCAAGAATTATTTTTCCGTCTGATTAAAATTTTCACATAGAGAAAAATGGCGCAGGCGGCGTTGCTTTGCTGACGTTGCCAACCTGTACCAAGTGGTGCGTTTTCAAAATGAGGGATTGTGGGGTGAAGCTTTTGGAAAAATTAAAAATTAATAAATTATTTACTTTTATAACAGAAGACGATCTCAAAGGAAACATTTATATTTTTTTATTTTTGTTTACGATACAAATGCATTTCTAATTACATTAAAAAACTTTCAACTGCTTATATATTTATATAATGGCATGATGGCAATGATTTCGTGTTCAAGGAACTCCGCATTTTTATCTAAATAGTGGCAGCTTTGGTTAAAGTACGTCTTTTATTTTTGTCATTAATTTTTGTTCACATTTAACAAGTTCTGCCCACCCGGTAAAATAAATAATCACAACAAATCATGCGAGAAAGTGAATCAAAGAGCTCACGAAGAGATCGTGACCGCGACCATGGAAGAGATAGGGATAGGGACCGGGAGCGTGAACGCGATCGTGACAGAGACCGAGAAAGAGAGAGGGACCGTGACCGCGACCGCGACCGGGATCGAGAACGCGATCGACATTATTCACGCAAATACCATTCTGAATCCAGGTCACCTTCACGCAGCAGTCGGTTGAAAAAGAGCAAAAAATCCAAGAAATCAAAAAAATATTCAAGACGCAGTCGTAGTAGTAGCAGTTCAGCATCCTCTACTTATTCTGTTGCTAGTCGTACCAGTCGCAATTCTCACAAATCTCGTTCACAGGCCAGAAGTACACGGGCACCCAGTTCTGAAGAGAATTCCCGTACAGCAGCGTCGGCAGCATTAGCTGTGGCGTCACTGAAAGGTGTAGATTCTATTGACGTACAAGTACGAAAAGCGTTAGATGCAATTGAGGAAGAAGCCTTCCAACCACAGGCATTTTTCAGCACACGTGATAGAGAAGCACCAGAAAAGAAACCACTACCCGAAAAAGTGATAATCGATTTGGAATCACAAACAGTGAAATTACCTAAACCAGCAGATATCGCGAAAGATGCCACTGCCGAGGAGAAGATCTTTCATCCTAATGTAAATGAAATATATAAATTTTTAGAAACAACTTTTATTGCAATTCTTTTAATATATTACAGTTCATTGGCGACGCTGAACTGAAGGCAGAAAAATGGTTACGCAAACTATTCAATTACCGGCAAAGATATTATCAGGAATAGTTGTAACATATCTTATCATTGAAAACATTTCTTAATTGCATTAAATAATAAAACAAATTGAAATAATTATTAGAATATATCTGAACCAGTTTTACGTGCACGTATCAATGCTTCATCTGCCGTTAACAGTTCATCATTGGAGGGATTCACGGGACTGCCATCCTTATTTAGTTTTCCTTCCTTGAAATCTTCAATAATTTTCTTGGAGTAAATCGCATTGAACAAATCCAAACTAGTAAATTCCGATTGCACTACATCTGGTGATTTGTATGACACATAAGGTTTTAGTTTACAATCAGTCAGGTCCGGCACTATTAGTTCTGGTATTCTTTCGGGTATCTCCACATATTTCCCATCAATATTTATACCGGTATCACGTACACCACGCTTATCTATTGGCACCGGAGGATTTGCTAATGTTTTTTGTGTTTCCTTAACAATGCGTGTACCTCTTTTGTTGGGTACCATGAATTTGCGGAAATTTCTTTTTCCATCCAAAGGAGTTGTTGTACTAATGCAGCGGCTGTTATTGCCAATTAGAGGCACAACACGGAATAATTTTTGGCAGTTCTGCATTTTTGATGCCACACAATTTTGGTTAAATAACAAGTTTAATTTTCACATGGATAAACAGAAGTACAGTGGTTCTTGTTTATTGTGATACTAAAGCGAAACAATGGAATGAAACATTGCAGGGCAATATAGCTCAACGACTAATTATTTAAAATATTGTACCAATATTGTTGAATACTTCTCGATGATTTCCGCCAAGTTCTGCAATTTCAATCACTGGATTGTCCCAAGATTTGTTTTCTAACTTCTTATTTACAAAGAACTTAACAAATCCACTGTTTCCACTACCTAGGCAACTCACAGTTTGTTCCACTATATTCTCTTCCCATGTTGTCCACAATCAGTTCATCTTTTAACGTGCTAATGTTGCGTTAACTGCTCTCTTATAAACTACATGGAATGCTCATACTCAATTCTCAACTAATAAATTATAAGCTTAATTTAACATAAATATAATTGTACAAAACTTGCTCGTCCAAAGGAGCATTAACGATTAAATATCAAGAGCGTTTTTATCAATGGTCCATTTTACTGAAATTTTATGAAATTGTTAACAAATAAAAATATGTTGAAGTAATAACAACAAAAAAGTTTTTAAACTGAATAATCGTAAGGCTTGACAGCCCTGTTATTGATGCTTGATGTTGGCTGCTATGAATATATGTTTAATGTAAAGAATATTAACGGAGATTTCAGTTCAAGTTTTCATTTCGGAAATTTTGCTTTAAACATTTAGCAAATAATCCAACTGAAAGAATACAATTGAATACAACAAGAAAACATATTTATATATTTATAAATAGTTCTGAGTAAATGACTTTTGGCTCAAAGGAAGCAAGGGGACAATTTCCATATACGAAAGAAAATATTGGACAGTGAAGTTTCGGTACTTACGTGAACCGGCGTTTTGTATATATCTGTAACCTATACATACATATGTGTGTATTCACCCGGTTTACATGGAAATCACTGCAATCTTAGCGATAGCAGTTATCAGTGGTTTATAATTGACTAGTAATAATAATCTTTGAGTAAAAATAATACTAACAATAAATAACGTTTTGTGTTTTCTAGTTTCGCGTAAAACCGGTTTTTGCTACCAACTCACAAGTAATCTGATATGAATTTGAAGTTAACTGTAAAGCCTAAAATTTTAAAACTTGTAAATTGTAAATCAAAATTTATGAATAATTGATTTTTCTAATTGCGATTGCGAGTGCGGCGACTTAGAATATACCATAGATCTCTCCATTTGTAGGAGTAACAATGTCAATATTCAATGGGAAAAATAAAAAAAAGAGTATCCTACGTCTCCATAAGCAATCAGCGATCGCTCAGCAACTGTCATTTTGACAGGTAATTGTGAACAATTTGATTCCTAAACATTTGTAAGATGACACCAGCATGTTGGATGCATTAAAGCTATTAAACGTTTCGAAATGCTAAAAGAACTTGATAAAGTGGAAAGAGATTTAAAAAATCTACTATAATTCAGAAAAAAATCTTATTTCAGTTACATTATAATGCTATATATGAATGTAAGTATACATATATTTTTTTTTTTTCAACAGACGTAGAAGTATTTATTTATATCGTAGGATCCTGGCAGTTTTAATTTTTTTTGTTGTTTTCTGAAATTCATTAATTTTTATATAATAAGTTAAGTTAATTTTAATAAGTTTAATTTTTTTTACAGTAATTATTCACATATCTATGTATGTATACCATATTAATTTCTTTTCACTCGAAACTTAGTCTTTCTTATTTCCTTTTTATTTTTTTGCACAACCATTGTCCTTGTTTTTCTTTGTCATTACGCATTCTGACCGTCAAAAGAGAAATTATATTGCACCTATTAGTTAGACACACACATATGTACATAAGTATCTATTTACATAAATACAAAAAATAACTTTAGCCAGGGTACACCTCTAATTGCAACTGATTGGCCTTCACAAACAGTTTCTTTGACCTTAACTTTTGTTGGTCAATAATTTATCCCCCATACAATATATTATATGTATGTACATACAAACAGATACACATGTGTTAAGTTTTTCTTTCTCAATTGCATATGCACATTTTCCGGGCGTGAACTTTTGTTTGTATAAATGTTTATACATATTTATATATGTATGTATGTAGCTCTCTGATTCAATTGCATATACGAGTACTTATATACCATATGTTTGTTTATATCTTCACTTATATATATGTATATGTATTTATGTACGTATGTATATATGTATGTACATCGTCATGCATATTTGATGGCAAGAAAATGCATTTGCTAAGTAACCACACGTTTATTTCTGATAATATGGACAATTTTCGCGATTCAGAAATGTTTATACATTTGTGTATATACATACATTGGTACACACATAAATAATGTAAATTGTGCCCTGCCGGAATCATTATTTGGTTTATTTTAGGCTGTGAAAAGTACACCCACGATTTCATTCGAAATATATGCTCTTCTGAAATATTCTTTTTGAAGCTACAAATCGGGAGCGAACGCTTATTACCAAGAATATTATATTTCGAATTTTATTGAAAGTATTCTTATGATATGTGTATGAATTATTGTCGCAAAAAACGCTAATAATAAATCCAATATTGCTTGGCTTAATTGAAAGTGTAGTTCGAACGCCAGCTGACCTTTTAGGCTGTGTTTTGCGGTGTCCAACTTCCAGAGCTTTTGTTAAATAATTTAAATTTAATAGGAAATCGCTACATAATAGAGCACAAATTAATTAAAATTGATTAAAATGAGTAACTACATAAAAAACTAAGCCAAGTGAAACTTAAAATTCAAATGTCAAAAGCAAATAATAGTGCGTTCCTACGGCGCTCTGTTTTAATTTATAGCCGTTTCCATGACCATAACAATTTCAATTTTAATTTCGTCAACCGTAGGTAGTTTACTTACACATATTGACTAAATCTATATTTTTTTCTTAGCTTTTCCGCCGATTTTGCGAACGGATTAAGATTTTTCAATACCGTTCACTGCTACCGGTGGACCTTGTAATATCGATTTTTTGACCTTTTTGTTATTTATTTTATTGAAAAAAAAAAAAAAATGCCTCAAATTTCAAAAGCCAAAATAAACTTGCTGAAGAGTATAGAAAAGAACAAAGAAATAATATACATATATAAATATAAATAAAATTTTAGCTGTCAAACTGAAAATCTAACAGTTGCTGGTCAAGCAATAAGCTCTGATATCGCGATTTATCTTTTGACATATTTGTCAATACATCCGTGATTGTCTGTGGAGGGAGGACTTTAAGCCAAAGGAAAATATTGTTAAAGTTGCGCAACTGAAGTGTAAAGAATTCGCCATATAAATCGCTGTCAACTAGAATTTAAGGATATTCACCACATTATTGTGCTGAAGAGCAAAGCTGCCGCATGGTTAATTTTCAATTATTTTAACATTTTTTAGTGATATAATGAAAAAAGTAACGAAATATTATATAACAAAAATAATGACGCAAAATTTGAAGCGAGCACGGGAAAGTGTATGCCTTTCTCTGCAACAATAATAAGTCTAACTGCATTGCTTAAGACTCTTTAATATGTATGTTAGTAATCTACCGTAGCGGTACGAAATCACGAAGGCCGTTTGCAAAAAAGTAGTATGATAATAATTGTTGTATGTAACATATGTACATATAAATATATAAACATTTAATTGTTTTGTTTGCTTCATCTCATACCAATCTTGCTAACTTTTATGTTAAATGCGTGCATGTTCACAGCGCTATGCGCTATTTATTACCAACCAACATGTCATAATTTATGTCATACCAAATAATATAATATTAAAGGAAATTCCGCCTGGGTGGTATCGGATATGTGCGCTTTTCCGCTTATTATTGTACAAATGTACATATGTATATATGTATGTACATGCATACACAGATAATAAATGCACAAGTTCGTTTGCTTATATTTATCTGTCCAAGGGTACAAACATCTGAACATACATACACGTATATAAATTCTATATAGAATATGATGCGCGACTTTCCGTACTCGTATGTGCACTATTTTAACAATTATGCGCATTTAAAATGCATACAGTCATATGGATACTTTGACAGCTACGTTTGATTGTGTGCGCCTTGACGATGACAGTTACATGCATATGGATATTATGAATCTCTATTTTTATTTTACACACTTTAAATATAATCATTATAGAAACTTTTATTCTAGTTTTTGTAACAATTTTTGCTAAATGCGACACGATGATTTCCCTTCTTCCTTTCGACTTCATTCATTATTAATTAAAAGTCCCAAGGTTTATTTTCAGCTTCTTTTTTGTAAACACACAGTTTGCCATATCTCTTATAAACACAGAGCTTATATTCCTTTACTCTACTTAACTTTACACCGTACTTGTCACTACCGAGTTTCAAACTCATTCGGATTTGTCAGCCTCGCTTTTATATAACTAGATATTTGCTCGCATGTATCTTCTAAAAGATTTTGTTTGAATGTTTTCGATAACGACAATTCGATACTCGCACTTTATGTAGATTAGTTAACTGCCAAAATGACGTTTGATCTTCATCATTGATATTAATAATGAAAAAATAGATTCTCTCACTCAATCCTTCACTCGTTAAAGACGTTGGCAATACACTGCTATTTTACGCAACTTCACTGCACATTCGCTTATATTGTATATATGTCTGTATGTATGCTTGTATGTACAATCATTATACTAAAGTCGCTGTCAAAGGCGCGTGGCCCTTTCGATTTTAATTTCACTTCACTACAGAGCGCTCAACTGCATTTGTGATTAGTACTGTGAATTCAACGGGAAAAAATTGAAAACCGTAGAATAATAACATTAGAAGAGTGAATAAGGCAGTAGAATTAAGACAGACTATTTGTTACATATGTATGTATGTATGTACATACATATAAACATATTTATTACAAATCTACTATTTGTATCAATCTACACATGGATGTAATAAAAGTCAAAATATTTGCGATCACCGCCATCACTATCAAGCCAACTAAATAATATACAAGGGCGTATCGTTAAGGGGTGTATTGGAGGTTAAAACAAGTCTTTGGAATATACCAACAAGACAAGCAAATTTTTGAAGTCGTGCTGTTATATGTAAAATTCTTGAAACATTCTCTATGTGACACTTGGACTGGAGAGTCGGGAATGGGTTTTTATTACAGCCGAGCTTACAATATCACGTCAGTCTTTTCTTTGTTATCGATATTCGGCGGTAAATGGAGACATCCAAGTGTGGGCATCTGCCTCCATCTGTGCTTTCCTACGGAGTGAAGGTTTTCCCTCTTAGTCAGTCAGCACCACATGAACGAGCCGGTCCTTACAGCACGATATGACCTGATAAGTGTATCACCGCTGTTTTATAATTCACACCACTCTGTTAATATGTTTATCTCTTACTGCTCATCGTACCATCGGTATTCGACGTCGCTAGTACGCAAAGATCCATTAATCGCTTGACAGTTAGTGGAGTAGTATTATATTGTAAACCTTGCATAATGCTTTGGTATTTTTATATCGATAAATTATCGAAAGTTGAAATAAAAGAAAACACTTCATACATTTCCGGGTAGCGATGAAGAGAACTGGTCAGACTAGACTTTCTTTGAAGTAAAGGCTATTTCCACTTAAATTTCGCACAAAATGCTCGATGGGATCTTATGAGTGGTATTGAGGAAGATTAAGCCACTATAAATAACGCAAATTGTGTGCAATCTTGTGGATTAAGTAAACCATATTTATGCTCAGGTGAAGAAGCTACAAGCTTGCCAACTTCCTCCGGGAAACCTCTTGAACCTGAGTGTCACTTGCACAGCGAAGCCTCTCTGCTACGAGTTAGAGAGCATAATGCTTTGCCGAGCATACAATTTCTGCTGGAATACAACAGTAGGGAGCGCCGAACCACTACTCGAGAAAATCAGTAAATGAGTACTCGACTTTAAGGGCTGCATTCAACACCACTTACAGGAATCGCTAGGCAGAGAGTCCGTGAACACCTTTCTGAACTATTTTCCGGTGAATGGCGTTCTCGGAGCTAAACCACCAGCCATTGCAGACCAAGAGCTCGAGCTGCCTCGAGAGTCTGGCAAAACTAAGTTCTGGATATTGTAGTACATTTGTGTCCCACAGCCATGAGGGATGAAGAAGGGCTTATTTACATATTATACACAATCCTTCAAGGATCTAATCAACAAACCGAGACGAGTTGTAAGAAATATTAATATTCCTAAAAGGCCTTTAACGTTTCAATGAAATTTGATGACACTGCAGTGAAATGTAAGAAAATGAATACGATTATTCTGTGAGGATGAGCTGAGCAAAGAAGAAAACACATAAAACACGCAAATCAAGCATATCTGTGCACATACATGCATATGTATATACAGTCATATACATATGTATGTACGAGTATGCACGTTTATCCACAAGGCCAAAGATATTCCACTCCTTCGACACATGGCAATTTCAAGTAAGATCCTCAGCATTTGAACGTCACAAAGCAATCAACAACAAGAACCTTGTTTTCCTCGCATTAATACCACTTTACCTATTTTCGCTGCTTCAATCATCTTGTGTTCCCAATCCGCGCTCGAACCAATGCGCTACTTACTTACTCAAGCTCTCAAACACACTTACAACCATACTTGTTACATACATATGTATGTACGAATAAATGTGCGCTTCTTCTCTTCAACTTCGCTCACACACCCCTAAAACAAGCCTTGTCTTGCCTTGCCTCGTTGTTATTATTCGTTGGGTCGTTGGGTTGTTGGGAAGACTCTCTCTCTCTCTCCCTATGGCTCTATCAGCCCCCAAAAAGCTTGATAAACACTGCGTAGCCGCAGTACGTACGAGTATATGTATGGAGTGCGCGTCGAGCGGCAGTGACGCGCAGCAGCGCAGAAAGCATTTTCGATTTTGTATTTTGTGTATTCGCCATATGCCGAAGTTGTGGCCATCAGCTGGAACTAGTTGACGACCGGCAGTGGAACGAGAAACATCACGCGAATCGGTTGGTTGGTAGCACGGGCCACGCACGTATGGACGTTGTTTTCCTCGGTGTTGTTGAATAAATTGCTTCTTTTTTTTTGGGGGGGAAAACAAATGTGGCGAGCCTAAATTTGAAGTTGTGTAAAAGTAATTAATTACAAGTTGGAAATTCGGACGCACACATGTGCGGAAATTGGAAAATAAAAGAAAATAAGTGTGGAAAAAAAATAAAAAATTAACAAGCATTAAAGACCGCGTGGAGCGAGTGAAGTGTGTTTTAGTGTTTTCGGGTGTTTTTTGTTTTGTGTGGTCTTTTAACGCGATTTTAGGGTTGATGGGAAGCGCCACTGCTGGCTACTTACATACACACTTGTCTACTAGCTTACATACTAACGCCTTTAAATGTCTATGTAACGCGTCCGCCGTGTATAAATCACCTGCGTTTGTGAAGTTGTGTGTGCGTGTGTAATTTTTCAAACTCGAGCCGCGCGCGTGTGTATGTCTCTGGCGCATATCTTACCTTCTCTTCAATTGTTCACTTGCGTTTCATCGGCCTCCCAGGATGAGTGTTGTGTCGACATTACTGGCTCAACAAGTCTTCAATTGGCAATTGGAGGATTTTGCCTACTTTCGAAAATGCGGCGAAATTACCGTGTCTCCAGATGCGCAAACCTACGGCATAAATTGTCGTTTTTGTGCTGGTATTTGTTTGCAATTCGATGTTTTCATTGAACATATGCGCGAGGTGCATGCGGAGCGTGTCAGTGCGCTGTATCAGCAAACGGAAACATCGCTAGAGGGAGAGAAACGCGAGCAGAGCACGCAAACACAAAGTGAAATCGAAACTTTTTATAGTGACGCCCTTGCCCACTTCAACGCTGACGACGATTTTGATATCGATATCGATGTAGAGTGCATTGATGGCGACGAGCGCGCATACAGCTACAACTGTGCAGACGTCGACGCCGCCGCCGCCACCGCTGTAGACAACAGCAACAGCAACAGTAACAGCAACGACAACGACGTTGGCAGTGACACTGACATCGACTCCGTGGCCAAAATCGCGCAAATACCGCCCACCGTTGGGGCCGTCGCTGCCGCCGCCGCGACTGTCACACAACGTCGCTATCCACAGCGCCAACGCCGTGCAACTGTATATAATGGGACAAACGGAGATAAGCCGCGTAAAATATGTAGTTGGAATGAAGCGTCGTCAGCGAAATGTAATGGCACATTGGGAAAATTCAAAACAGTCGCTATACAAACGCCACCAACACCCGCGTCCACACCATCGCCATGGACAACGCCAATACAAAATGCCAACGATTCGACAACAACAACAACAAAAACAAAGACAACAACGAGGCGAACAGTCGAAACCGAAAGCGAAACAACAACAACAACAATAGCGAGAGCAATGGATACAACAGCTGACGTTAGTTTGGGTGCGCAAATAGACATGCACGATATCTGCACGCCGCTAGCTATTGAAGGGGATGTCGACATGCAGGCGCAAAATGGACCGGAAGCGACACAAGAAGTTGACTTGGTTTATATTATGGAGAGCGCAACACCAGATGGTATTATAGCAGAAGAAACCGTTGTTGATCCATTCGAAATGGCGCAAGGCTGGCGGCGTTCAACAGATTCATCGGAGGTGAGTAATGGGCAAGTGAAAAAAAAGTGCAGAAATTCCAAAAAAAAAAAATAAAAAAAAAACAAGTGCGACACACGCCAAAGAATGCCTCGCGGTGAAGGGCGGTGGTATTAGTTAGTGTGAAATACAAGCGTTGCTGAGTAGTGGTTTTAAATTAATTCTCTTATAAATTGAAATGGGTTAATACGATGTGCTAGCGGGTTGGACGTGTGTAACAAGGTGTTGCTTTGGATAGCAAGTATACGCGACGAAGAGCGACGAGTAGCGGTTTGGGCAAGCAAGTGTGCAAAAAACTGGGCGCACGGGCGGTTGGTTGGTTGTTTGGTTGGTTGGTCAGTTCGGCGCTGAAAGCTATACAGTGTGAGTGGAGTGAGGTGTATGTATGTATGTTTGTATTGCGCGTTGTGAGTTGAATGTAAAATGATATGGAAAAAAACTCGCAATGCCTTTTGCTCGATATTTACATAATTGCTTTTGTTTGTTGGTTTTTTTCTGTTCCTTTTTGGTTTCTTTCTACACGTTCTACTACAATCGACTGTGTACGGCATTTTATTTAATACTATTAGAATTGAATTTAAATGGCATTAGAAAAACAAACTTCTTGTTTTTGTATCAAAGTCAGATTGCACCTTCGAGCGGTGTTTTTGTGCTAAATGCAAATGGAAAAATGTGCCGCATAGTCGGAAGTAGGATTTACATACATATGCCAGTATGTTTGATATGGTGGCCGCGATAGCCGAGCGATTAGTAGTGCATATGGTCGTTCGCAAAGCCAGTGTTCGAGCGCTGGTATGACCAGCATCCAAAATTATGGAAATTAAAATAAATTGTTTTAATTGCGTTCGCCCCTCGGTAGAGCATGCCGAATGACATGAAAGAAAGAGCCTCTCATGAAATCACCAGCCGGCGGCTTAGTATGAACTATAGGTCCTTCCATTTGTTGAAAAACATCAAGACGCATACCGCAAATTGGAGCAGGAGCTTGGTCGTAAATCGCCTCAACGGTTATTTCTCTTTGTAAATTGGTATTTAAATAAAATATTGCCGTAAATGGCATATAAAGCGTGTTTTTTTAGGTTATGTGGTTTTCAAGAAAAAATAAAATGCATATAATTTAATGTTATGACCAATAATTTAGCTTTATTATAAAGTTAACGGTTTGTCATTATGTTGTAAAAATTATTCCGAGTGACCGTCGCGGTTAGCTCTTATAAATTTAAGTCGAGAGGCTCAATTCTCGTCCACTGTTTGCAGCAATTGTGGCCATATGTCAGCAGTAACCTGCTGAATATTCTCTCAAGAGTACTTGAGGGTCACGCTACAGGCCCATGTCGCGAGTTAATGCTTTCTTCAATGAATGTACTTTTTCGTTAGCTGTGTGGACTGTAAGGCTCTTGTGTTGGCTTCAAAGCTCGTCCACATTAAAATCCTCTAAAAGCGCTGTAGCATTATAGTCGGTTTCATTTTTGAAGAGATATGGTCGCTCTGTCCATAGAGCACACCAATTATTGACTTTCTGAGAATGTAAGGACGTCTCAACAATGGCGACAATTTGTTTATTAATGTACACATTCAACCGAAAGTGAGCTACGTAGCTAAATAAAATTTGCTTGTGAATCTTTTGGTTGGTAGCCAATTCGTTTTCGGCCCCTTCAGCGAACGTGTGACGCGCTTGATGGGTCTGCTTCATGATTATGTCGGCCGAATATTGGACGCAGTGCGAACTATGATTTTGGTTGTAAATTACATGATTTGCAAACGTTGTTCCTGCATAAGTCTGTTCATTATGAAATGTCAAACCAAACTGAGTATAAATCAACTGACAGCTGTCAAAAAGGCCGACTGCGAAAAAATATTGCCTCATTGAAAACCACACATTAAAAAAAAAACACCCGTTGGTTTCTAAATATTATATATGCATATTCAGGAGTGCTTTCACATACATATGTATGTACAAGTGCACACATACAACATACGTAAAAGTGTTTATTTTTAAAATAGTTCATTACAAAAATTATTTGCCAGAGCGAGACACATTTGGCATTTCTGCTTGGAATCTGCCAAAATAGATTTGAAAAGTAAATAGTTCTATATTTATAAATATGCTGAAATATATAAATGTACGTAATTATGTATGTATATGTGTAAATGCATTTCTTCTTCTAAAAAATATTTATTTTCGTAAAATCGCGGGTGTTGCACGCTTGATTCGCATCGATATTTCGTTCCCTACGTGATAAGATGTGCGAAAATCGATAGAAAAAAATCGAATGTCAGAATTCTATATTATGGTTTAATCTCAAAATTTAATGTAATAAATTGTAACGCAATTTCGTAATTAATGACCTTTTGAAAATTTGAGACTGAATTTCTTTGAAAACATTTTGTGCATTAGAATTTTAAAAATATTTTTTGTTTGATAATTTCACTTTGGCTACCAGTGTGAACGTAGTTGAAAGGAACGATCAAGCGAATTATCACTATTGTGACTTTTGCTTGTTTGAGCTGTTCACAATAATATATTATTTCTGACAGCCGACACGATTGGTTTATACATTGAATAAATAAAAATTAAAAAGGGAAATGTGTTGTGTTTATTAAAAAGTGGAAGTAAATTTATTTGTGTAAATTTATATAAACAAATTTAATAAATGTAAAAAAGAGAAATATTCTAGTGGAAAATTGAAAATGGGCACGAAGTAATTGGGGCCAGAAGATTGCTTGGAATATAAAACCTTAGTGCAATTGGCTAGCAGTTGAATATGGTTAATGGACGCTTCCAAACGCCTATTTATGTTGTTGTTTTGTATGCACTGCCTGAGATTAGTGAAGTTAGTGTTGAGACTCTAAAATGTAAAATCAAAACTAAATTTAATTGAGTTTGTGCAATAATTCAAGTAGATATGATTTGATATGGGGTTTCTTCTAAATTATAGTTCGTAATTCTTTTAGTTATTTTACTTAGCGTAGTGAGCCATAAGCCCTGGCAGCTAGTGCTTCTTTCTCTGTAAAATAATAATTGTATTAACATTTTCCTCATATAATAAATAAATAAAAAAAATTTTTACTTAGTTCTAAGCATCAAAATCAAATTTTTATTCCATCACTAAATCATCAACGACACCTTTCACAGCACGGTCTCAATTGTTATTTCTGTAATACTTAGTAAGCTCTGGATAATACCAGAAGAGAGGTACTAATTGGAAATAACCTCTCCCAGCAATTCGGTATGAAACTAGGTATCAGGCAGAGTGAGTCTTTATCGTGTGACTTCTTCTCGCGTTCTCAAACAGATAACATATTCATGTCGCGACTCCCACCTTGCTGTTGAGGGTCATAACTTTGAGGACGTAGATTTCTTCCTCTATCTTTCTTTATCAAAACGTAAAAAAATTGTAATTGGAAAACAACTGGCTTCACTTGATGTTTTAAATTGGTCACAATCAGTAAAGAAAGAAAACGACTAGTGGACTATTGTTAATAATCGTCGCGCTCGCCATGGAGGAAGAAGAAGAATATTCGTACCTATTAGATCGCAACATTATATTATGCATTAAGCTGCGCTTATCAGATTTTGGATCGTATTATGAACGAGCTGGGCCAGGCTTTAGTCGCTTTCTTACTTTTTACACTCAGGTCGGGCAGATGGTTTTTATACAGTGGTCCAATTTCCTGTTAATGAAAATTCATCTTGCTGCCTTCTTCAGCTCCTGATATCTCTCACGGCCGACGGGTTTTGCAAAACAGGCAATCCTCTACTGAAGCGTGGCATTCTTCATTGTACCAACTATGATGAAAATGTACTACATCACTTCTTCCTTGGTGATCGTTATGGAGCTTAAATGGTCACTTAAAGAGAGATGTTGAAGAGGACACTTAGAGAGCAGGAGTGTAAGTAGGGTATATGTAGTTATATACGAGTACTTCTTTGTAAGTGCGATTGGCACACTTATAAAAGGAATTTTCGAACGCAGTGTATAAGTTGTAGAACCTCATTTTGATGCGGATTGAGACTTAATGTAAGTTCACCGAGGTGAACGATACTACATGATGATGGGCTCTTATAAAAAATTTGAACAGCGAATTTATGCCTCTCCTCCTCCTCAACCCCTGTTTAGATTCATTCCTTAAGTTAATGAACGGAACTATCCAGACGTACATACATATGTCCTCAAATCATGGTTTTTAACCATTGATAGTGATCATCAACAAAACGGGTCTCTTATTCCATTTCATAATCGTCAGATTCTTTATGTGGCAGATTCTTCATGTGTCACCAATCAACGTGCGAGTACACATTCTTACTTTAGCTTGCAACCAAACAGATGTTTTTATTTGCTAAATCGAGGTTCTATAGTCTAAGACCGAAGATCGCCAGTTGCTTGAATCATATTTTTTTAAAATAATCGATTCGGTCTCGGTGAATAGCAGTCAAAAGTTCTCCCCACTTGCGTGAACTTCTACTTTCATTTGGTCTGGTCTGAGTTACGCTATTTATATGGCTACTGTAAAACAGGTCAGCTTAATTTTTTTCCTGATATCAATCACCTGCCCAGCGTCATCTAAATTTAGAGGCAAGATATACCAGGTTTACGTGTACAAATTACAATAATACGAGCCCAACGTCCAACGTACCATCTTGCAAACGAATCTCTCGTGAGCAGGTTTTCAGTTCGACTCTTGTATCAAATTAGTCGGTGGAGCTCTGTAGATCTCTGGAGCTGGTTACCTCCTCCTACAGAAGGGTGACTTACGCAACCAGGTTTTTTCTGTCAGGTGAAAAAGCAGCAAAACCTAGACGCCGTATAATGTAGGATAAAGTCTCGATTTTCTTTAATAGCAGATATGAATGTGCAAAAAATTTATTAAAAAATTACTAGACAAATTAAATAAAAGAATAAAAAAAGCATGGAAAACATGCGTACACCCAGATACCTTTTGTGTGTTTTCAATCTTTTGTTTCTTCGCTTATGTAAATATCATTGTATGTCGTTACATAC